AAAAAATTTTAAAAGTAAAAAAATAAAAAAAAATAAAAAAAAAAAAAACAATATAAAAAAAATTTAAAATATTTAAAAAAAAAAAAAAAAAAAAAACAATAGCCGACCAAAAAACTTGACAGAGGTTGTTTTCGATTTCGATCTGCTGTATAGTGTACCGCCGGTTTTTGTCTGCATACCATTCTAAGCAAGGGCCGAAAGTGATCACAAATCAAGAATACTTTTGTTTAAAGAGTTAAAATCTTAAATCTGCAGAATTTCTTGTCAGGCACAGAGAGGAAAATCTGTTACAGTTAAAAAAGATTAGAAGACAAAATACCTTTTTTTCGCTGTTCCCATGCACCTGAAAAAGCTAAATCAACATTCATGAGGGTAAACAGTTATATCGCATTCTTATTAGTATGCATAGTGACTGGGATTCAACAATTTAAAACTAAAACTTTTAGGATGCGATCAGTGGAAAAAGAAAATATTTCAAAAGAGAGGAAAAAAATTGTGCTTAACCAAAACTAAGCCTAACTAATCAGGCGTTCACATTCAAAGTTCGCGTTTTAGCATGCATACCTATTTTTGGTAGGCCTAATTTTTTTTTGTTTTGTTCGTTGTTTCATTTTATTCTGTTCGACTTTGTGATATTTTTACGTTTCTCCCTAGCTTTTTTTGCCTTTTTCGAGCCCCCTTTACACCCTCCCCCCTCCCCTTAACACTTGAGTGAAGTTTGGACAGCGGTAGACTCACAAGTTTATATGCGTTTAAAAACGGGCCCGAACGAACATACCCTTTTTTTCTGATATTGTTGCTTTCATTTAACAGGCATAAACTGTACACTGCATACCCTAAGAGCCAAGCACATGTGAATTTTTTAGATAACCTCCTCAAGGAAGGAGTTGATGGCGTAAGTGTACATTAAATAATATTATGCATACGGTACATTTGAAACCAAGGTGGCCACCCGTAAGGGTTAGCGCTCTATCAAGGCTGACCTCAAAACCATATCCAAGTTCAAAAAGAGAAACGCATATCCATCATCCTGTTTTCACGTCGACCCTCAACAAAATGAGACATGAGGTATTTATTAATACAACTTTTTCCTTTTCTTAATACAAAAAAGCTGATTTTCTAAAATTCAGATGAGGATAACTCCGGCCGGCATTAAGTTGATCGGTATAAGTGCTGAACGAGTTCGTTGCGTTTAATTGTTTCAAATCTTTCTTTCTTAGGTTGATTTTTGGACCTACCCAGTCCCTTCACTCAACCCGGTGGAAATCCACGTGGAACCGGCGTCCGTGCAGAAAATTGAAAATCGTTTAAGTGGCGCTGGTATACATTACAAGATGAAAGCAGGTGACATGAAAGTACTTCTTGATGCCGAAAAAGCGTCATCAAGGGCTGGAGGCTTCGATTCCAAATATCATCGCCTTGGAGAGGTATAAAAACGTTCAGTTTAACATGAGGTCCCATTTCTTTGGCGTGTGTATTACAGATGACCTTACTAAAAAGTTTTATCGAAGAACAAAGTGACTGAAGTTATTGTCGCATATTCACCTTCAATGCTGTAACTGAACAGGCAAAAAAACGTGGGTAAAACGCTTGGAGAGAATGCAAACTGGGATTAAAATATTTCTCTCGTTTAATCAGAAACAAGTAATTTTGCAGAGTGCACTTCGAGAAAAATTGATGTATGTGTATTTTGTACATAGTCTCTTTTTTGTTAATACAGATTCACTCGGAAATACGGAGCCTGGCCTCACAGCATTCCGATGTTGCGTCAATCTTTACTTTAGGAAGGTCGTATGAGGGTCGTGAACAACTGGCAATCAAGGTTTGTGAAATATGAATTTAAAAAGCCAAGAAGGAAAGGTTGTGTGCATCGTTACCAGGGTTCTCTCCCTGATTGAGGGATTTGGAGAGAACCCTAGCAACAAAGTTGAAGGTTGAGGTGTGGAGGTGGGGCGGGAGCAAAGTGCATTTCAAACAACTGCATTCAAAACCCGCTTTTTTGTGTTGTAGTACCTACTTGGGATAGCGTATTCCGCCCTCCTTCGTCTCTCCCCTCCCCCCTTCTCCTTCACAACCTTATTACAACACTATCCGTAACTCAGAAGTATGTTAATCGCACTAGCCTTAATAAAAGTATAGAGTATTTTCATCGACGACAAAAGCGAGTTTGACTTAAAGCCCTTCTTGTTCTCACGCTTGTCTACAGACTCGGTAAAATAGCTGGTTGAGCATGATTCAATAATGATACAGAATGTGAAATTAAAGAGAAATAAACAATATTTTTTTTAATGCAAGTATTAACTGTAATTGTTTCTACGTCAACGAGATATAAGTGAACATCCTACGAACTTCAATTCAAGTGGACACTAAATAGACTACTTACTAACTTCGGAGAATTCAGAATACACGCATGCTTAGTGACACTTATTACCAGTCCTCTGTTTTTTTCTAGATCAAGTCTGGAAGCGTTACCAAGCCACTATTCTTTTTTAATTGCGGAATTCATGCTAGAGAGTGGATAAGCCCCGCTACCTGCATGTACATGATAAGGCAAATACTGGCAACGAGACGCACCAACAGTGATGTGAGGTTCATGTTGGACAA